GGAACTTTTTTCTTGCTGTAAAGGGCCAGATAGCAGATATTTTTGACCTTGAGGGTAGGTCAAAACTACTCTTCTGCCCTTGTAAAGGAAAAGGAGCACAGATATATCTTTGAGGTTGCACCTGTAGTGGAACTCTAGTCTGCCAGCTCCTGATACTGATTTGCAGATGTGACTTTTAAAAAAGAGGAGAAAGGGTAGGAAACCGAGAGATAGGAAGGGGATTAAAAAAGAACTAAGTGTTAGGTACTTGTACCAACTCCCTGTGATGAATGTAATCATTATGTACTGCAAACATGTACCAATAAAAACAAATACCTGTCCTCACCCCCCCAAATGGACAGGAAAGACAGTGAAGGCAGAGTTGGGAGCAGAGGTGGCAATTCACCAAATTAGAATGATCCTAACCCCTGGCGAAGACCTGTGAAAGGACCAGTTCAGAACCTCACCAAGATTCTGAGAATCACTCTGTGGAAAACTTATGGTGAAGGTTCAAAGACTCAGAATCAAGATGAGTCCACAAGAAACTCACTGACTCACAGTCCTGAGATTGCTAAACTGACTCCTCCCACCAGCACCCAGCCAGGTGGAGGGTCAAAGTCAACATCATACAGATCAGCTGTTTTAATGAACTGTTTTTCAGTCATTTTTTTAAAAAAAGAGAAGTAGCCACCAATAAAATATCAATAGGCCTCTCTATGTTCTAATAACACTTTATTTACAAAAACAGGTAGGGGTGAGCTTTGGCTTAAAGCCCCTGGTTTACTAGTCCTCGATCTAAACTGTGATTTCCAGTATATGGGTAGAACATTAAAACCCGAAGATTTTTTTTACTTATTTTACAACGGAGGTGCCAGAAACTCTAGGTATTGGCTGGGTTACTGGTATTTTAAAAATATTTATGATTGGGTCTGTTGTACACTCAAGATTGAGAACTACAGATTCAAATAAACATGTCTAATTCAAATGAACATTTGCAAGGGTAGTGAACATTTACTTAATGCTTATTATATACCTGGTGCCAAAGAGAAAAGCTTTTCATGTACAGCATTATTTCACTTAATCCTCGCAATTCCATGAATTTGGCACCATTATTAAACCCACTTTATAATACAAGTAAGGAAACTGAATTTTGGTGAGACTAAGTAATTTGCTTAAGTTCAAGTAGCTAAAAGGAAGACCAGTGATTCAAATCCAGACATCTGCCATTAGAACCTGAGTTCTACATCACCAGGCTCCTTTTCTTTTCTATTTTTTTAATTTGGTACTGGGGATTGAATTTGGGACCTTGTGCTTGTGAGGCAGGTGGCGGAGCCACGGAGCTAAATCCCCGGTCCTTTTTTCTTTTTTTTACTTATTTTATTTATTTTTAATTTTTTTAAACCAGGCTCCTATTATTATGTTTAACTGAAAAACACAGCTTCCATCTGAACTTAACTACTTTTATCAGACATATTTTAAAAAAGACATACAGGGCTGGAGATTTAGCTCAGTGGCACAGCACCTGCCTTACAAGTGCAAGATCCTGAGTTCAATCCCCAGTACTGTCTCCCCAAAAATTGTCCAGAATAAGATTTCAAAAGCACAGAATTATTCTAGCTGGGCGTGGTGGTGCACGCCTGTAATCCTAGCACTCGGGAGGATGAGGCAGGAGGATCGCTGTGAGTTCGAGACCAACCTGGGCTAAACAGTGAGTTCCAGGGCGGTCTGAACTACATAGTGAGACCCTGTCTCACAAAACCCCCCCCAAAAAAAAAGACATACAAAGGTTACTTCTAAGCATTTCCCCCACATTTAATGCACTTTTTCTAGTGTCACTGAATTGTTCTTCTAAATCAAATTCTCTGACCTTGATGACAGCTTTGAAACATCATAGAAATTTATCATTAAAGTACCCTTTCAGTTTGTTTTATGCCTTAGAGATTTTCTTTATCTTAGCCATTGCTCACCTTCACATCTGCTTCAGCTACTAATCTTTTTAAGGCTATTGATTATTAGGAAAAGGCAAAGGCTTAGTTGATCTTTATTTTATAGATGATATAGTGTAGCAGTTTTACAGATGGGCTTTAATTTACAGTCTAAATTATGACCCTGCCAACTGCAGGCTAAATACTTAACAAATATCAGCTAGTGTTGTACCATTTTAATTAACTGGAATAGGCTGTCTTGCCTCTAACTCCCTTATGTAGTCTTTCTTCATGCAGTAGAAGCAAAATGTAACATGTCACCTAAAGTATCTTTAAATAATAACAACTGTAACTTTATTCCCCATCATAATAATAGCTGACATTGATTTTTTTTTTTATATATAGTACTGGGGATTGAACTCTGGCCCTTGTGCTTGCTTGCAAGGTAGGCAGCAGAACCCCTGAGACAAATCCCCAGCCCTAGCTGACATTGATTGCAGGAAACAAGCCAATTAAAGACAAAAGACACAAAGATAATGTGGAAGAGGGACCAGGGGGCTTTTGCCTCTAGTGGGCAAAAAGCCCCAAATGTCTAGCTCACTTAGCTTTTATTGAACTTAGAAAAGGGAGCAAGCAATCCTGTGAAGTCAGGTTCAAAAAAGGTTCTTCTGCTTCTCATAATTTGCAGAGTATTCCCAGACATATATTCTGTCTCACTTAGATCTCAGCTGTTTGTGACCCTTTCTTGGGGACCGGCAGCTACCAGCTTGCTGGTGCACGGCCAAAGGAGGCACAGCTTGCCCCTGTCCCTCCTCTGTGCCCCCAGAGGAAGGTCAGCTAGACCTTGATCTTCTCACCTCAGCCTTCCAAGTGGTTTCCCACAATTGATTGTGTTATGTGCTATTTTAAATGTTTTTCAGGTTAATTCATTTAATTACTTCAATAATCCTGTGAACTAGCTATGATTATCTGCAATTTATAGGCAAGGGAACTGAGGAACAGAGAAGTCAACTTTTCCAAGATCAAATAAATAATATGTAACACAAATAGATTTTCAATCCAAGCACGCTTAATTTCAGTCTGTACTTTTACAACTCATTTATTTATTTGGTACTGGGGATCTAACACACGACCTTGCACTTGTGAGGCAGCCGTGGTGCCACTGAGCTAAATCCCCAGCCCTATTACTTTTTAGATATTGCTTCATCTTAGTAAACTGCCTCCCATACAAAATTTCACTGTCATATCGCTTCAAAACAGAAAGAATTATCTTTCACTGCCTCCAAAGCAATGATTCCCAGGATTTAGAATTTCAAACAATATTCAACCAATACAGATTTCTGGCAACCCATATAAATTTGCCAACTTTAGATTTTGACAAGAAAGGACCTTCAAAAGCAAACATCATTCGTTTACTATTAGCACAAAGTAAAGGATAATTCAGTAGCAAAAAGTAGAGTGAATAAAATCTAGAAAGCTATCATTCTAATGTTACATATATTCATATCCTGTCCTTAAATTCCCACATTTTGAGGAAAAAGATTCTAGAATAACATTGTCCTTCCACCCTCTCCCTAATAGGAGGGTTAGCAACTCACATTTAAATGTAATTGCACTTTTAGTAAGTCTTACACCTGTCTTTCTAGAGAACCTGTATCTTTGGGTCTAGAAATTAGCAATGCCATTAATTTAGTTGCTGTTTTAAAAAACTGAAATGTAACAACTATGGATCTTTTACTCCATTAAAGTGGTCAAAGGACAAGACTCTGAGATGCTTAAGATCTTAATCTTCAAAAGGCCAGGGATTTAGCTCAGTTGTGCTGTGCCTGCCTCACAAGCACAAGGTCCAGTGTTTGCTCCCTGGTACCAAAAAACAAACAAAAAACAACTTAGTCTTCAAATTTTGAAAGATTAAATAATTTTGTGAACTATCATTTCTGTCATTTAAAAGCAAGAAGATAAATATATTACAGAGAAATAACATTTCAGTTAAAGCCTTTAAGTTTTTCACAGAGACAGGGTATTAATAGGATTTATATCTATTCCATATTTGATTCTTTCCAGAGTTGGAATATGTTTTGATTTATTTATTTATTTGGTACCGGGGATCGAACTCAGGCAGGAGCGGAACCACTGAGCTAAATCCCCAACCCTTGGAATATGTTTTAAACATGGTGCCACATAAGCATCTACAAAGATGAAAGGCTCATTAATTTTTATTGATGTTAAATGAGAAGGCTCAGTGCTTACCATCTGCATTTTGAACTAAATCACAAATAATTAATTATGCCTACATGGAAAATTTTTTGAAACAATTTTCGTTAACAGTCTAACAGACCTTTCGTTTTATTTACTTATTTTTTGGTACATGGGATCTAACTTCGGTTCTTGTGCTTGCGAGACGGGCAGCGGAATCATTGAGCTAAATCCCTGGCCCGACCTTCCTTTTTTTAAAAAAAATTTAATGTAATGCAAGTAGATGTTACTAAGGAAAATATAAGTCTTCTATGAAAAAATAAAATTTCCTAACAATATAGAGAACAAGCTAATATTAGACCTTTCTTTAGTAACTTTGAGTACATTAAATTTGAACATTTCATAATTAAATTATATTCGGCTTCATATTAACTTTCGAATCGAGCCTATTAGCACGACCCCTCGAGGGCAGTTTATTACATAGGGCTAGTAAAAGGCCATTGGCTTGCTCATGAACTTGTGCATGGTACTAATTAGATTAAAAAATGGATCCAACAGATTGAATGCTCGCGCTCTAAATATTGCGCTTTCACACTAGGGATATTCCGCATTTAGGAGCTGCAAATAAGTTAGAAAAATAAAGGAGAACTTAATTCAGGAGAGGAAAGATCATATTCGTTCTTCAATGATTTATCTAGAACTTTGCTTGAGGGATGATGATTGGAAAACTTTTAAGAACTCCCTTCTCTTATTTTGAGAATTCAGAAATTTGTGGCTTTCGTTAAGGGATTTACAGTACAGACTCATAAACCCACGTCGGAATAGCGGCGCTGTTTAAGGAACCGAGTCCAAGACGTGGAACACAAAGATTAAAAATAATACGTGCGTGTAGGTACTGACGTGGACCTGGAGGGCGGACAGAGGAGTTACCGGTAGTAGGAAGAATCCGGGAGACCAGGATGTAAACTCCCAGTTTCAAATCTACTGAGCTGTGAGCACCGGGTCGGACACAGAAAACAACCTAGCACACAACGTCGGAACTGAAACTCAATGGGATGTGAGGGCGCCGGACGATGACGTTTCCAGACAACTGGCGATGATTGGCTCTTCCAGAGGGGCGTGGGCTGCCAACGCGATTTGGAGTCCCGTCCTAAATCATCGCGAGAGCTGAGGCCTAGGTGCGGGGATGGCGGCAGAGCCGGGAGGAGCTGGCATTTGGCTCCTGGCTCCGGCCCTCCGGCCCGAGACATGGCCAGGGGTCCCGGTCCTATAGGCCGGCCACGCCCCGACACGATAACCATGCCCAAGAGAGGAAAGCGGCTCAAGTTCCGGGCCCATGACGCCTGCTCCGGTCGAGGTGGGTGAGGGGGCGGGGGCGCCGAAAGACCCGGGGCTGGGCGGGGGGGGGGGTCGCCGGCCGCCG